AAAATAGTGGGAAGATTTATGGATAGAGGTGACAAGCCTACCGAGCCTGGTGATAGCTGGTTATCCAAGATAGAATTTTAGTTCAACCTTAACTTTACCTGCAGAACTACCCAATCCCCCTGTAACTTAATTGTTAGTCTAAAGAGGGACAGCTCTTCAGACATCAGGAAAAAACCTTGTATAGAGAGTAAAAAATCTGACCTCCATAGTTGGCCCAAAAGCAGCCATCAATTAAGAAAGCGTTCAAGCTCAACATCAATTATATAAAAATTCCAAACACACCACTAAACTCCTTATTCCACATTGGATTAATCTATCATTTCATAGAAGCAACAATGCTAATGTAAGTAACATGAACATTTTCTCTGCCGCATAAGCCTAAATCAGACTGAAAAACTTCACTGATACTTAACAGCCTAACACTAACAAACAGAAACAAGTCAGTATTACTCACACTGTTAACCCGACACAGGCATGCTTTAAGGAAAGGTTAAAAAAAGTAAAAGGAACTCAGCAAACTTAACCCTGCCTGTTTACCAAAAACATCACCTCTAGCATTACCAGTATTAGAGGCACTGCCTGCCTGGTGACACATATTCAACGGCCGTGGTACCCTGACCGTGCAAAGGTAGCATAATCACTTGTTCCTTAAATGGGGACTCGCATGAATGGCATCACGAGGGTTCAACTGTCTCTCACTTTCAACCAGTGAAATTGACCTGTCCATGAAGAGGCAGACATGAAACAATAAGACGAGAAGACCCTATGGAGCTTTAATTTATTAATGCAATCAAAATTATACAAATCCACGGACCCTTACACCACCACACCTGCATTAAAAATTTTGGTTGGGGTGACCTCGGAGCATAACTAAACCTCCGAACAGCCTACGCTAAGACTACACAAGCCAAAGCGAACCAGCACCTGTAATTGACCCAATGACTTGACCAACGGAACAAGTTACCCTAGGGATAACAGTGCAATCCTATTCCAGAGTCCATATTGACAATAGGGTTTACGACCTCGATGTTGGATCAGGACATCCTAATGGTGCAGCAGCTATCAAGCGTTCGTTTGTTCAATGATTAAAGTCCTATGTGATCTGAGTTCAGACCGGAGCAATCCAGGTCGGTTTCTATCTATTCTATATTTCTCCCTGTACGAAAGGACAAGAGAAATAAGGCCCACTTCATAAAGTGCCCTCATTCCATAGATGACCTAATCTCAATCTAACAAAATAACACCAACCCAACCCAAAAACAGGGTTTGTTAAGATGGCAGAGCCCGGCAATTGCATAAAACTTAAAACTTTACAATCAGAGGTTCAACTCCTCTTCTTAACACCACGTCAACAACAAATCTCCTACTCCTTATTATATCCGTAATGGCCGCCATAGCATTCCTCACACTCATTGAACGAAAATTACTGGGCCACATACAACTACGCAAAGGACCAAACACCATTGGCCCCTACGGGTTGCTACAACCTTTCGCTGACGCCATAAAACTATTACCGAAGAACCCTTAAAACCTTCAACATCTACCACCATTCTCTACATTACTGCACCAGCCTTGGCCTTTTCCATTGCTCTTCTCCTGTGAACTCCCCTTCCCATACCCCATCCACTAATTAACTTCAATCTAGGACTTTTATTCTAGCCACATCTAGTCTAACTGTCTACTCCATTTTATGATCAGGATGGGCATCAAACTCAAACTATGCACTTATCGGAGCACTACGAGCCGTCACCCAAACAATCTCATATGAAGTCACTCTTGCTATTATTCTCTTATCAGTCTTACTAATAAGCGGCTCATTTAATCTTCACATACTTATCACAACACAAGAGCACCTCTGACTCCTCCTACCATCATGACCCCTAGCCATAATATGATTCACCTCCACATTAGCTGAAACAAACCGAGCTCCTTTCAACCGCATAGAAGGCGAATCGGAACTAGTCTCAGGCTTTAACATTGAATATGCCGCAGGCCCATTCGCCCTGTTCTTCATGGCTGAGTACATAAATATAATTGTAATAAATGCCCTAATAACCACAATCTTCCTAGGTACATTATACTTTATTCATTCCCCAGAACTATTTACAACGTGCTTTACCACCAAAACACTTCTTCTAACCTCATTATTTTTATGAATCCGAACAGCATATCCTCGATTCCGCCATGATCAACTTATACACTTACTATGAAAAAATTTCCTCCCACTTACACTAGCTCTTCTCATATGATATATCTCAACACCTATTGCAATCTCCAGTATTCCTCCGCAAACCTAGAAATATGTCTGACAAAAGAGTTACTTCGATAGAGTAAATGATAGAGGCCCTAATCCTCTTATTTCTAGGATTATAGGTATCGAACCTACCCCTGAGAACCCAAATTTCTCCGTGCTGCCTACCACACTCCATCCTAAGTAAGGTCAGCTAAATAAGCTATCGGGCCCATACCCCGAAAATGTTGGTTATACCCTTCCCGTACTAATTAACCCACTAGCCCAACTTATTATCTACCTCACCATAATCACAGGCACTCTCATTACAACGCTAAGCACACACTGATTCCTCGCCTGAGCAGGCCTAGAAATAAATATACTAGCTTTCATCCCAATTCTAATCAAAAAAACAAACCCCCGTTCTACAGAAGCCGCTATTAAATATTTCCTAATACAATCCACCGCATCTATAATCCTCATAATAGCAATTATCTCCAACAACCTACTCTCCAGATGCTGAACCACAACAGATAACATCAACCAACTTTCATCTCTAGCCATAACAACAGCCCTAGCCATAAAATTAGGAATAGCCCCCTTCCACTTTTGAATCCCAGAAGTCACCCAAGGGACATCTTTAATTTCTGGCCTGCTCCTCCTCACATGACAAAAACTAGCTCCCATCTCAATTATATACCAAATACATTCTTCAACCAATACAGATATTCTCCTGACCCTCTCTTCTCTATCTATTATAATAGGCAGCTGAGGAGGCCTTAACCAAACACAACTACACAAAATCATGGCATATTCTTCAATTACTCACACAGGCCAAATAATAACACTAACCTACAACCCAAATATCACAATCTATTACCTAACCATATACACTATTATGACAACTACCGCATTCCTAACTCTCAACCTAAACTCAAATACCACAACTCTTATACTATCCTGCACTTGAAACAAACTAACCTGACTAATACCATTAATATCAACCACCCTCCTATCCATGGGAGGCTTACCCCCACTAACCTGTTTCCTACCCAAATGAATTACCATTCAAGAACTTACAAAAAGCAATAACTTCATCCCCTCCATTATAATTACCATAACCCTACTCAACTTATACTTTTACATACGCCTAATTTATACCACCTCCATAACAATACTCCCTACATCCAACAATACAAAAATAAAATGACAATTCGAAAATATAAAACCCATACTCCTCATCCTCCCACTCAATATCCTCACCACCCTCCTCTTACCAATTTCTCCACTAACCCTAGTCATCCTCTAGAAATTCAGGTGAAGTAAGACCAAGGACCTTCAAAGCCCTCAGTAAGTTAAACTACGCTTAATTTCTGAAATATATAAGGACTGCAGATTCTACTCCACATCAAATGAATGCAAATCAATTACTTTAATTAAGCTAAGCCCTTACTAGATTAATGGGACTCAAACCCATAAAATTTAATTAACAGCTAAATACCCTAACTACTGGCTTTAATCTACTTCTCCCGCCGCAGGGAAAAAAGGCGGGAGAAGCCCCGGCAGAAATTAATTGCTCCCTTGAATTTGCAATTCAACATGAAAATCACCTCGGAGCTGGTAAAAAGAGAACTTTAATCTCTGTCTTTAGGTTTACATCCTAATGCTTACCCAGCCATTCTGCCCCCCCTCCCCCACCTATGTTCACCTACCGTTGGCTGTTCTCAACAAACCACAAAGATATTGGAACCCTTTACCTACTGTTCGGCACATGGGCTGGGATCATAGGTACAGCTCGAAGCCTTCTTGTTTGAACTGAACTGGGTCAACCAGGCAGCCTATTAGGCAACGACCATATCTACAATGTTATCGTTACAGCCCATGCGTTCATCATAATTTTCTTTATAGTTATACCCATCATAATCGGAGGTTTTGGAAACTGATTAGTACCACTAATAATTGGTGCCCCCGACATGGCTTTCCCCCGCCTAAACAATATGAGTTTTTGACTTCTCCCCCCTTCCTTTCTACTATTACTGGCATCTGCGGCAGTAGAAGCCAGTGCTGGGACAGGTTGAAGAGTTTATCCTCCTTTAGCAGGAAATTTCTCCCACCCAGGAGCTTCCGTAGATCTAACTAACTTCTCACTTCACCTAGCAGGCATCTCCTCCATCCTAGGGGCTATAAACTTCATTACCACTATTATCAACATAAAACCCCCTGCAATATCTCAATGTCAAACCCCCTGATTCATCTGGTCAGTGTTAATCACAGCCATCCTTTTACTCCTCTCTCTACCAGTACTAGCTGCCGGCATTACTATACTACTAACAGACCGTAATCTAAATACCACTTTCTTTGATCCTGATAGGGGGGGATCCTATCTTGTATCTACATCTATTCTGATTTTTCGGACACCCCGAAGTCTATATCCTCATTCTACCTGGATTTGGGATAATCTCTCATATTGTGACATATTACTCCAGAAAAAAAGAGCCATTTGGCTACATAGGTATAGTTTGAGCTATAATGTCAATCGGGTTTTTAGGCTTTATTGTATGATCCCATCATATATTTGCAGTAGGAATAGGTAGACACACGAGCCTACTTCACTTCTGCCACTATAATTATTGCAATTCCCACTGGCATTAAAGTCTTCAGCTGACTTGCCATGCTTCATGGAGGCAATATCAAATGATCTCCCGCAATACTTTGAGTTCTAGGCTTTATTTTTCTATTTACCGTAGGGGGCTTAACTGGTATCGTGTTAGCAAACTCATCATTAGACATTATACTACACGATACGTACTATGTTGTTGCACACTTTCACTATGTACTATCAATAGGAGCTGTATTTGCTATCATAGGAGGCTTCATTCATTGATTCCCCTTATTTTCAGGCTATACTCTACACCAAACTTATGCCAAAGCCCACTTCACCATCATATTTGTAGGTATAAATTTAACCTTCTTCCCACAACATTTCCTCGCCTTATCCGGAATACCCTGACGCTACTCTGACTACCCCGATGCCTATACCAGATGAAATATCTCATCCATAGACTCCTTCATTTCCCTAGTAGCAGTAATACTAATAATAATCTACATAACCTGAGAAGCCTTCGCCTCAAAATGTAAAGTCTCATTAATTGAACAGCCCTCTACCAACCTAGAGTGACTGCATGGTTGCCCTCCACCCTACCATACATTTGAAGAACCAACCTACATTAAACTAAACGAAAAAGGAAAGAATTGAACCTCCTAAAACTGGTTTCAAGCCAGCCCTGTGACCTCCACAACTTTTTCAATAAGATATTAGAAAAACTATTTCATAGCTTTGTCAAAGCTAAATCATAGGTTAAACCCTATATATCTTATATGGCTCACCCAGTTCAACTAGGCCTACAAGATGCTATATCCCCTATCATAGAAGAATTAATTGCTTTTCATGACCACACTTTTATAATTGTATCCTTAATTAGCTTTCTAGTCCTATATGCCCTGTCTTCAGCTCTCACAACAAAACTAACCAACACCAATATCACGGACGCCCAAGAAATAGAAACCATTTGAACCATCTTACCCGCAATCATTTTAATCTTAATTGCTCTTCCATCCCTGCACATCCTGTATCTAACAGACGAGATCAACAACCCCTCTTTTACTATTAAATCAATTGGACACCAATGATACTGAACCTAGGAATACACAGATTACGGAGGATTAAACTTTAACTCTTATATACTCCCCCCATTGTTCTTAAACCCAGGAGACCTTCGACTTCTAGAAGTTGACAACCGAGTAGTTCTCCCAGTTGAAGCCCCTGTCCGAATAATAATTACATCTCAAGACGTCCGACACTCATGAACAATTCCTATTCTAGGCCTAAAAACAGATGCAGTTCCTGGACACCTGAATCAAACCACATTCACAGCTACACGACCAGGTGTATACTACGGACAATGCTCAGAAATCTGCGGTGCTAACCACAGCTTCATACCCATTGTCACAGAATTGATTCCACTAAAAATTTTTGAGATAGGGCCTGTATTTACCCTATAGACCCCCCCCCCCCCCCCCCCCCCCCTACCTCTCCGCAAAATATTCTTATAATACACTGTACAGCTATCCTAGCATTAACCTTTTAAGTTAAAGATCGAGAGAAATACCCTCTCTGCAGTGAAATGCCTCAACTAGATACATCCGTATGGTTTACTATCATCATAACTATACTCCCCACACTATTTCTTATTATACAATTAAAACTACTAAACACAAACTACTACCCACCTCCCCTACAAAAGAATCCCAATACACAAACCTACAATAACCCCTGACAATTGAAATGAACAAAAATCTATTTGCCCCATTTACCTCTCCAACAATCCTAGGCCAACCTGCTGCAGTACTCATCATTTTATTCCCTGCGCTACTATTTTCCAACCTCCAAACACCTTATTAATAATCGACTAATTACCATTCAACAAAACCTAGTCCAACTAACCCTAAAACAAATAATAATATCCGATAATACCAAAGGACAAACCTGGTCCCTAATACTAACATCTTTAATTATTTTTATCTCAATAACCAATCTTCTCGGACTTCTACCCTACTCATTTACACTCACCACCCAACTATCTGTAAACCTAGCCATAGAAATTCCCCTATGAGCAGGGACAGTAATCATAGGCCTTCACTTCAAAACTAAAAGCTCTCTGGCCCACTTCCTACCACAAGGCACACCCACTCCCCTTATTCCTATACTAGTAATTATTGAAACAATCAGTCTATTTATGCAACCAGTTGCCCTAGCCATACGCTTAACCGCCAGTATCACAGCTGGCCATCTACTAATGCACCTAATAGGAAGTGCTGCACTAACATTATCAACCATCAACCTCCCTATTACCTCACTAATCTATGCACTTCTAGTACTATTGACCATTCTAGAAATCGCAGTGGCCCTAATCCAAGCCTATGTCTTCACACTATTAATCATCCTTTATCTACGTGATAGCACTTAATGACCCACCAATCTCATGCCTGTCACATAGTTAAACCTAGCCCCTGACCACTAACAGGGGCTCTCTCAGCCCTGTTAACAACATCAGGCCTAATTATATGATTTCACTTTTACTCCACCACTCTACTAATGCTAGGCCTACTAACCAACGTGTTAACCATATACCAATGATGGCATGACATTATTCGAGAAAGCACCTACCAAGGCCACCATACAATACCTGTCCAAAAAAGCCTTCGTTATGGAATAGTCCTTTTTATCATCTCAGAAATCCTCTTCTTCACCGGTTTCTTCTGAGCATTCTACCACTCGAGCCTTGCTCCCACCCCACACCTAGGAGGACACTGACCACCAACAGGAATTACTCCCCTAAATCCCCTAGAAATGCCCCTTTTGAACACCTCTGTACTACTTGCATCAGGAGTTACAATCACCTGGGCCCACCACAGCCTAATAGAAAGTAATCGAAAACAAACAATCCAAGCTTTACTCATTACAATCCTACTAGGCATCTACTTCACCCTACTACAAATTTCAGAGTACTTGGAAGCGCCCTTCACTATTTCCGATGGTATCTATGGCTCAACATTCTTTATCACCACAGGCTTCCACGGACTTCACGTCATCATCGGATCTACATTCCTTATTACCTGCCTTATCTGTCAACTATTATACCACTTCACATGAAACCACCATTTTGGATTCGAAGCCGCTGCTTGATATTGACACTTTGTAGATGTGGTCTGATTATTCCTTTATATCTCTATCTACTGATGAGGATCCTACTCTTTTAGTATAATTAGTACAGTTGACTTCCAATCAACTAGTTTCGATACTATTTGAAAAAGAGTAATTAACCTAGCATTAGCACTGACAATTAATACCCTTCTGACCCTCCTACTAATAATTATCATATTCTGACTACCCCAGCTGAACTCTTATGCAGAAAAAACCGATCCTTACGAATGTGGCTTTGACCCACTAAACTCTGCCCGCATTCCCTTCTCCATAAAATTTTTCTTAGTCGCCATTACCTTCCTACTATTTGACCTAGAAATTGCCCTACTACTACCCCTACCATGAGCTCTCCAAACAACAGATCTTCCAACCATGCTTAAATCATCAATTACACTAATTATTGTCCTAACCCTAAGCCTAGCCTACGAATGAACTCAAAAAGGACTGGACTGAACTGAATTGGTAAGTAGTTTAAACAAATGATTTCGACTCATTAGATTATGATAACCATACTAACCAAATGCCTTTCATCTATATAAGTGTTACACTAGCATTTATAATCTCACTCCTAGGTATATTAACCTATCGCTCACATCTAATATCCTCCCTATTATGCCTAGAAGGAATATTATCATCACTGTTTATTGTAAGTACTCTTATAGCTTTAAACATGCACTCCTCACTAGCTAACATTATACCCATCGCCCTACTAGTATTTGCTGCTTGCGAAGCAGCAGTCGGTCTTGCCCTACTAATCTCAATCTCTAACACATATGGTCTAGACTATATCCACAACCTAAATTTACTTCATTGTTAAAAATAGTTATCCCCACAATTATACTACTACCAACAACGTGATTTTCCAAAAATAGCATAATCTGAATTAACCTTACCGTACATAGCCTAACCATCAGTATTATCCCCTTATTATTTTTCAACCAAACCAGCAACAATCTCCTCAACTACTCAATCCATTTATCTTCCGACCCTCTAACGACACCTCTCCTAATATTAACTGCCTGACTCCTGCCCCTTATAATTACAGCAAGCCAATATCACTTACATAATGAATCCCCCTCACGAAAAAATTCTATCTCTCCATGTTAATTTTCCTACAAATCTGTCTAATTCTAACATTCATAGCCACAGAACTATTCATATTTTATATTCTATTCGAAACCAGTCTCATTCCTACCCTAATCATCATCACCCGATGAGGCAGCCAAGCAGAACGCCTTAACGCAGGCACGTATTTCCTATTCTATACACTAACTGGCTCTCTCCCCCTACTCATTATGTTAATCTATACCTATAATAGTTTGGGTTCACTAAACATCATGCTACTCACGCTCATGGCTCAAAAACTAACAACCACTTGATCCCACAATCTTACCTGACTAGCATGCATAATAGCCTTCATAGTAAAAATACCCCTGTACGGCTTACACTTATGACTCCCCAAAGCCCATGTTAAAGCCCCCATTGCTGGATCAATAGTCCTTGCTGCAGTACTCCTAAAACTAGGTGGCTCCGGCATGATACGACTCACCTCTATCCTTAACCCTACAACAGAACATATAACCTACCTCTTCCTTATACTATCCCTATGGGGCATAATCATAACAAGCTCTACCTGTCTTCGACAGACAGACCTAAAATCACTCATCGCATACTCCTCCATAAGCCACATAGCCCTAGTAATCATAGCCTCCCTCATTCAAACCCCCTGAAGCTTCATTGGTGCAACTGTTCTTATAATCACCCACGGACTCACCTCATCCATACTATTTTGCCTAGCAAACTCAAACTATGAACGAACCCACAGCCGCATTATACTACTTTCCCGAGGACTCCAAATACTATTTCCATTAATAACCTTTTGATGATTTGCAGCAAACCTTACCAACATCGCCGTACCCCCTACTATTAACCTAGTAGGAGAACTCCTTGTAATAATAACCTCATTCTCCTGATCATACATCACCATTACGCTTACAGGACTTATATGCTAATTACAGCCCTCTACTCCCTCTATATATTTACCACAACACAACGAGGAATACTTACATATCACACTACTAATATAAAACCTTCCTTTACGTGAGAAAACATACTAATATTCATACACCTTTCCCCTATTATACTCCTGTCCCTTAACCCTAATGTTATTCTAGTTTTCACCTCCTGTAAATATAGTTTAACCAAAACATTAGATTGTGGATCTAACCATAGAGGCCTGCCACTTCTTATTTACCGAGAAAGCTAGCAAGGGCTGCTAACCCATGTCTCCATTTTTAATAAATACGGCTTTCCCAACTTTTAAAGGATTACAGTTATCCATTGGCCTTAGGAACCAAAAACATCGGTGCAACTCCAAATAAAAGTAACAACCATGTACACCTCCATTACCATAACAATCCTAACCACTCTAATTCTACCAATTGCTATTACCTTTATTAATCCCAACAAAAAGCACGTATACCCATACTACGTAAAAACAACTATGATATATTCTTTCACCATTAGCCATCTCCCCATAATCTTGTTTATTCTCCTGGACCAAGAAGCAATTATCTCAAACTGACATTGAATAACAATCCAAACATTAGAATTAACACTAACCTTCAAATTTGATTACTTCTCCATAATATTTATCCCAATTGCACTATTCATTACTTGATCTATTATAGAATTCTCACTATGATATATAAGTTCAGATCCAAACAATCAATTCTTTAAGTGCCTTCTCACATTTCTCATCACCATACTAATTTTAATCACTGCCAACAACCTCTTTCAACTTTTAATTGGCTGAGAAGGCATAGGAATTATATCCTTCTTATTAATTAGCTGATGGTACGCTCGAATAGAAGCCAACACAGCAGCCACTCAGGCAATCTTATACAACTGTATTGGCGATATCGGCTTTATCCTAAGCATAACATGGTTCATCCTACATTACAACTCATGAGACTTTCAACAAATGTTTATCCTAAACCCCAACCCAAGTCTTCTCCCACTAATAGGTATTCTCCTGGCAGCAACAGGAAAATCAGCCCAATTTGGTCTTCACCCTTGACTACCTTCCGCCATAGAAGGCCCAACACCAGTCTCAGCTCTACTCCACTCCAGCACGATAGTTGTCGCCGGAGTATTCCTGCTCATCCGTTCCACCCTCTAATAGAAAATAATACATTAATCCAAAGCCTTACATTGTGCCTAGGAGCCATTACCACCACATTCATAGCAGTTTGCGCCCTAACACAAAACGATATTAAAAAAATCGTAGCCTTTTCCACCTCAAGCCAACTGGGCCTCATAATAGTTACTATCGGCATCAACCAACCATACCTAGCGTTTCTACATATCTGCACCCATGCCTTCTTCAAAGCTATATTATTCATCTGCTCTGGATCCATTATTCATAACCTAAACAACGAACAAGACATTCGAAAAATAGGAGGGTTATTTAAAACAATACCCCTTACTTCAACCTCCTTATTTATTGACAACTTAGCACTTGCAGGCATACCCTACCTCACAGGCTTCTACTCCAAAGACCTCATCATCGAAACCGCAAACATGTCGTATACCAACGCCTGAGCCCTATCTATCACTCTCATTGCCACATCCCTAACTAGCGCTTACAGCACCCGAACTATCTTTATAACCCTAACAGGACAACCCCACTTCCCAACCTCAATCTATATTAACGAGAACGACCCCACCTTATTAAAACCAATCAAACGCCTCACTATCGGCAGTATACTAGCAGGATTTCTTATCACCAACAATATCTCCCCTACCTCACTCCCCCAACCAACAATGCCTCACCATCTAAAACTCTCAGCCCTATATCTAACCACCCTGGGCTTTCTAGTAGGCCTAGACCTTGCCCTTATAACCAACAAACTTAAAATAAACATGCCATCACACACATTTAAATTCTCCAACATATTAGGATATTACCCTATCACAATTCACCATATAACCTTCTACCAAAATCTACTTATAAGCCAAAACCTATCCTTCCTCTTACTAGACTTAACCTGACTGGAAAAATCTATACCCAAAACAATTTCACATATCCACACTACCATCTCCACCATCACAACCACCCAAAAAGGCATAATCAAACTTTACTCCCTCTCCTTTCTTATTCCCCTCATTCTAACTTTATTCCTAATAACATAATCTATTACCCTGAGTAATTTCAATAATAATGTATACACCAACAAACAACGTTCAACCAGTAACCACTACCAATCAACGTCCATAGTCATACAAAGCACCTGCACCAATAGAATCCCCTCTAACTAACCCCGACCCCTCACCCTCAAAAATCACCCAATCCCCCATACTATTAAAGTTAACCACCACCACTAAATCATCAAAATCTATAACTCATAAAATTAAACCCACCTCCATCGCTAATCCTACCAGAAAACTCAAAAAAACCTCAAGCCCCGATCCCCATGTTTCAGGATACTCCTTAATAGCCATCGCCGTAGTATACCCAAAAACAACTATCATACCCCCTAAATAAACTAAAAACATCATTAAACCCATATACGCTCCCCCACAATTCAAAATAATCACACAACCAACTATACCACTAACAATTAATGCCAACCCTCCAGAAATAGGAGAGGGTTTAGAAGAAAACCCCACAAACCCCATAACTAATAATACGTTTAACAAAAATAAAATATATGTCATTGTTCTCACGTGGACTCCAACCATGACCAATGATATGAAAAACCATCATTGTACTTCAACTACAAAAACATTAATGACCCCAATACGCAAATCCCACCCAATCCTAAAAATAATTAACCACACCTTCATTGACCTACCCACCCCACCTAACATTTCTATATGATGAAACTTCGGCTCACTTCTTGCAACCTGCCTAATTCTACAAATTATTACAGGACTATTCCTAGCAGTACACTACTCACCAGACACTTCCTCCGCCTTCTCCTCAATCGCACACATCGTCCGAGATGTAAATAACGGCTGAATCCTTCGCTACCTCCACGCCAGCTGTGCCTCCATACTCTTCATCTGCCTTTTTCTACATGTAGGCCGAGGCCTCTACTACGGCTCCTTTCTTCTCACAGAAACTTGAAACACTGGCATCACACTTCTACTCATAACCATAGCAACAGCCTTCATGGGCTATGTACTCCCATGAGGCCAAATATTCTGAGGCACCACCGTAATTACAAACCTACTATCAGCAATCCCATACATCGGAACCAATCTCGTCCAATGAGTTTGAGGTGGATATTCTATTGAAAACCCCACCCTCACACGATTCTTTACCCTTCACTTTATCCTACCTTTCATTATCACAGCCTTTACTACTCTACACCTATTATTTCTACACGAAACAGGATCAAATAATCCCTGCGGAATTTCCTCTCACTCCGATAAAATCGACTTCCACCCCTACTACACAATTAAGGACATCCTAGGCCTAGCCCTCTTTTTCACAGCCTTAATAACATTAGTATTATTCACGCCTGACCTTCTAAGCGATCCAGACAACTACATCCCAGCCAACCCCCTAAGCACGCCTCCACACATTAAACCAGAATGATACTTCTTATTTGCATATGCAATTCTACGATCCATTCCTAATAAACTAGGAGGGGTGTTAGCACTCCTCCTATCAATCTTTATCTTATTATTCATACCCACTCTCCACAAATCCAAACAACAAAGTATGGCATTCCGCCCACTCAGCCAGTTCCTATTTTGACTCCTAATCACAATTCTACTAACTCTTACCTGAATCGGAATTCAACCAATAAGCCAACCCTTTATGACTATTGGACAAGTAGCATCCGTAATATATTTCACAATTCTAGTCTTAATACCACTTGCCTCCCTAATTGAAAACAACCTGCTCAAATGAACCTGCCCCCGTAGTATAGATAAATACACCAGTCTTGTAAACTGAAAATGGAAAACTTCTCCCTAGGGCAACTCAGAAAGAAAGTACTTAACTTCACCACCAACACCCAAAACTGGCATTCTAACTTGAACTACTTTCTGTCTTTTATGGTATGCAAGCTTTAAATGCAACTTAAGTATTAAACATTTCAATAAACTTTTATGTAAATCGTGCATTACTGTTAGCCAACATGAATACTATATAGTACTATATATGTTTAACTGTACATAGCACATATTCTTACATACTTACTAAACACAGTCCCACAACATGCTTACAAGCAAGCACTCTAATAGATCAATCAACTGTAACACATAACAACAAGACTCAAAGCTCAAGCATCACAACCCGAATATCAACTAACCTATTGTTCATTTACAGTACATAGTACATTAAATCGTTCACCAGACACAGCACATCCAAGTTAAATTAATCCTCCTCACCTCCTTGTCTTGTGCAGGTTTTCAAAGGGAATGCTTCTGGTTTTTGCCCATTCAGTATGATATTGTCTGTGGGTTTGTCATAAATAGCCCTTATTATTTTGAGATACGTTCCATCAATACCTAGTTTATTGAGTTTTTAGGACGAATGGGGTGTTGAAATTTATTGAAGGCCTTTTCTGCATCTATTGAGATAATCATGTGGTTTTTGTCATTGGTTCTGTTTATGTGATGGATTATGTTTATTGATTTGCCTATGTTGAACCACCCTTGCATCCCAGGGATGAAGCCGACTTGATCATGGTAGATAAGCTTTTTGATGTGCTGCTGTATTCAGTTTGCCAGTATTTTATTGAGGATTTTTACATCCATGTTCATCAGGGATATTGGCTTGAAATTTTTTTGCTGTTGTGTCTCTGCCAGGTTTTTGTATCAGGATGATGCTGGCCTCATAAAATGAGGCTTCCCTCTTTTTCTATTGTTTGGAATAGTTTCAGAAAGAATAGGTCAGCTCGTCTTTGTACCTCTGGCAGAGTTCAGCTGTGAATCCATCAGGTTCTGGACATTTTCTATTGGTAGGCTAATAGTTACTGCCTCAGTTTCAGAACTTTTGTTATTGGCCTCTTCAGAATTTATTTTATTTTTATTTTTTGAGGGGTTTTTTGTGTCTCTCTCTCCTTCTGTTCTGCTGTTAGTTATTTGTTATCTTCTGCTAGGGTTTGAATTTGTTTGTTCTTGCTTCTCTAGTTCTTTTAATTGTGATTTTAGCATGTCTATTTTAGATCTTTCTTGCTTTCTCTTGTGGGCATTTAGTGCTGTAAATTTTCCTCTAGACATTGCTTTGTCTTAGTCCCAGAGATTCTGGTATTTTGTCTCTTTGTTCTCATTGGTTTCAAAGAACTTTTTAAGTTCTACTTTCATTTAATTATTTACCCTGTAGTCATTCAGGAACAGGTTGTTCAGTTTCCATGCAGTTGTGCGATTTTTAGTGAGTTTCTTAATCCTGAGTTCTAATTTGATTGCAGTGGTCTGAGAGACTGTTATGATTTCCATTCTTTTACATTTGCTGAAGAGTGTTTTGCTTCCAATTATGTGGTCAGTTTTAGAATAAGTGCGATGTGGTGCTGAGAAGAACGTGTATTCTGTTGATTTGTGGCAAAGAGTTCTGTAGATGTCTATTAGGTCTGCTTGGTCCAGAGTTGAGTTCACATCCTGAATATCCTTGTTAGTTTTCTGTCTCATTGATCAGGCTAATATTGACAGCGGGATGTTAAAGTCTCCCACTGTTATGGTGTGGGAATCTATGTCTTTTTGTAGGTCCCTAAGAACTTGCTTTATGATTCTAGGTGCTCCTGTATTGGGTGCATATATATTTAGGATAGTTATCTCTTCTTGTTGCATTGACCCCTTTACCATTATGTAATGCCCATCTTTGTCTCTTTTGATCTTTATTGGTTTAACGTCTGTTTTATCAGAGACTGGGATTGCAACCCCGGATTTTTTTTTTTTTTTTTTTTTTTGCTTTCCATTTGCTTGGTAAATATTCCTCCATCCATTTGTTTTGAGTCTATATGTGTCTTTGCACATATAGACTCAAATACAGCACTTAGATGGATCTTGACTCTTTATTCAATTTGCCAGTCTGTGTCTTTTAATTGGAGCATTTAGCCCTTGTATTTAAGGTTAATATTGTTATATCATTATGATGCTAGCTGGTTATTTTGCCCATTAGTTGATGCAGTTTCTTCATAGTGTCGATGGTCTTTACAATTTGGTATGTTTTTGCAGGGGCTGGTACCAGTTGTTCCTTTGTGTGTTTAGTGCTTCCTTCAGGAGTTGTTGTAAGGCAGGCCTGGTGGTGACAAAGTCTCTCAGCATTTGCTTGTCTGTAAAGGATTTTATTTCTCCTTCACTTATGAAACTTAGTTTGACTGGATATGAAATTCTGGGTTGAAAATTCCTTTCTTTAAGAATGCTGAATATTGGCTCCCCACTCTCTTCTGGCTTGTAGGGTTTCTACAGAGAGATCCACTGTTAGTCTGATGGGCTTCCATTTGTGGATAACCCGACCTTTCTCTCTGGCTGCCCTCAACATTTTTTTCATTTCAACCTTGGTGAATCTGGCAATTATGTGTCTTGGGGTTGCTCTTCTCAAGGAGTATCTTTGTGGTGTTCTCTGTATTTCCTGAATTTGAATGTTGGCCTGTCTTGCTAGGTTGGGGGCATTCTCCTGGATGATATTTTGAAGAGTGTTTTCCAACTTGATTCCATTCTCCCTGTCACTTTCAGGTACCCTAATCAAACGTAGATTTGGTCTTTTCACATAGTCCCATATTTCTTGGAGGCTTTGTTCATTTCTTTTTATTCTTTTTTCTCTAATCTTGTCTTGCTTTATTTCATTAAGTTGATCTTCAGTGTCTGATCTCCTTTCTTCTGCTTTATCGATTCAGCTATTGATACTTGTGCATGCTTCACGAAGTTCTCATGCTGTGTTTTTCATCTCCATCAGGTCATTTATGTTCTTCTCTAAACTGGTTCCTCCTGTTAGCAATTCGTCTAACCATGTCATAAGACTGTTTGCAAATCACTTTTATCTTGCAGCTCCCAAAATTCTCTTTTTGTCTGTAACTATTGAAATTGTGATTATAAATATGTTTTTGTTATAAATGTATTTGTATGTATCGTAATTTGCTTTTTGAGCTTTTTTATTTTTAGATATTTTTTCTTAATTTTAGAATCTTTCAATTATTTATTTTTGTATTTTTATCACCACAATTTAGATATTTTTGTTCTTATCCTCATTTTTCTAACTTTTTATAGTCTTTTGTGTTCCTGTTTCATGCATTATTATTCCATTTTTAAAATTAGTATATAAATTTTTAGTGATTTCTTTCTGAAATTTTAATAATATTTTTGGTGGGATTATGTTGCCCTATTTTGTATAGATTGTATGTAATCTTTGAGATTTGGACATTTAAAAAGGTTACCTGTCACAAAATTTATTAATGTAGCTTTGTCCTGGCATAGTCAGAAAGCAATGGTCTTGACTAGAGATTGTGTGGGTCTGTCAAACATGTTCTTCAGATTTGTGTTGTCTGAAATTTTGTGCTTACTTTTAGTTTAAAGAGATTATGTTTCTCCTGAAAAGTAATTACCTGGTATACCTGTTCTCTCTCTGCAGCACTGCAGTGCTCTGCTGCAGTGTATTTACCTTTGGTCCCAGCAGACTCAAAATGAAAGTATACCATCATTTATTTCAGCAATTTATGTCATGGGAGACAGAAACCAGTGTGTGGAAAGGCCAGTAGAAGACAGAAATTAAATTGTACATGCCAATATTTTACTTTCCTTTAAAAAAAAGCCAGAAGTTACAATTTACTTCTGAAGGGACTAGGTAATACTGAGGAGCAGAAAGAGTTGTAATGGGTAAATGTAACAAACTTTTCTTTTTTTCTATGTGGTTCTTTGCATTGGGTTTAATTCAGACACTGTACACACTTAACTCATGTATAAATTATCCACATATGTATTTTGGTCTGTATGTTTTCATTACATTTATATGTCTGTGAAGAATTAGGGCCTGTGGGCCTGTGTCATATTGCAATGTAATCTTACTTATGTAGTTTGAATAATTTTATAGGTTAGATTTGGAAACTGTATTTATCTGAGTCTAATAAGTGGACTAATTTGTTATTTTTATTTCTTTTCAGTTATATGTTCTCATTTTGCTCAACACCTTTGTCCAGAGCAGGGCATAGAAGATTCTCTCCGAAAAGTGATATTGAGAAGATGTGAAAAATGTGGACCTGAGAATTTACAGTTAAAAATTGGTTGTACCAATGTGGATGCGTGTAAGGTGCACAAAAAAGGTTATAATAAGCTTAACCAGAGTTTGACAACTACACAGAGCGAAGTATTTCAATGTGGCAAATATGTAAACATCTTTCATAAATGTTCAAATTCAAAAAGACATAAGATAAGGCATACTAGAAAGAAGCTTTTGAAATGTAAGGAATATGTCAGATCATTTTGCATGCGTTCACACCTATGTCAACATAAAAGAATTTATACCAGAGAGAATTCCTACAAATGTGAAGAAGATGGCAAAGCCTTTAACTGGTCCTCAACCCTTACTTATTATAAGAGAATTCATACTGGAGAGAAACACCACAAATGTGAAGAATGTGGCAAAACCTTTAGTAAGGCCTCAACCCTTACTGTACATAAGACAATTCATGCTGGAGAGAAACCCTACAAATGTGAAGAATGTGGCAAAGCTTTCAACCAGTCCTCAACCCTTACGGAACATAAGAGAATTCATACTGGAGAGAAACCCTACAAATGTGAAGAATGTGGCAAAGCTTTCAGCCAGTCCTCAACCCTTACGGAACATAAGAGAATTCATACTGGAGAGAAACCCCACAAATGTGAAGAATGTGGCAAAGCTTTCTACCGGTCCTCAAGACTTAGGGAACATAAGAGAATTCATACTGGAGAGAAACCCTACAAATGTGAAGAATGTGGCAAAGCTTTCTACCGGTCCTCAAACCTTACGAAACATAAGAGAATTCATACTGGAGAGAAACCCTACAAATGTGAAGAATGTGGCAAAGCCTATGGTAACTTCTCAACCCTTACTAAACATAAGGTAATTCATACTGGAGAGAAACCCTACAAATGTGAAGAATGTGGAAAAGCCTTCAGCTAGCCCTCAAGCCTTAGTGAACACAAGAGAATTCATGCTGGAGAGAAACCCTACAAATGTTAAGAATGTGGCAAAGTCTTTAGCTCAGTCTTCAATAAACATAAGAAAATTCATACTGGAAAGAAATTCTACAAATGTGAAGAATGTGGTAAAGAGTTCAACCAATCCTCACACCTTCCTACTCATAAGAGAATTCATACGGGAGGAAAAACCCTACAAATGTGAAAAATGTGGCAAAGCTTTCAATTAGTTCTCAACCCTTACTGAACATAAGGGAATTTATACAGAAGGGAAACCCTACATATGTGAAGAACGTGGCAGATTTTTTAACTCTTCCTCAATCCTTACTAAACATAAGGTAATTCATACTGGAGGGAATTCCTACAATTGTGTGGAATGTGGCAAAGCCTTTAACCAGTCCTTAAGGCTTACCACATATAAGACAACTCATACTGGACAGAAACCATACACATGTGAAGAATGTGGGAAAGCCTCTAACAGATCCTCAATTCTTAACAGACACAGGCTAATTCATAATAGAGAGAAACTACAAACCTGAAAGATGTGACAATGCTTTTGGCAACACCCGAAACTTTTCTGAGTATAAAAGAAATCATAGTGGTGAGAAATCCTAGAAATGTGAAGAATGTGACAAAGCCTTTAAATGGCTGTCACACTTGATTGTAGGTAAGATAACTCATACTGGAGAAAACTAGTGTGAACAATGTGGCAAAACATTTAACCAATGCTCATGCCTTTTTGCAAAGGAAAGCATTTATATTAGCCTGGGCAACAGAGGGAAACTCTGTCTGGAAAAAAAAAAAAATCATTAATATCTTCTCACATCTTAGTCAATATCAGAGAGTTCATACTAAATAAAAGCATTAGAAGTGCAATTGGTGTCAATAGATCTTTCAGAAAATATAAGCCTTTAAATTACAAAAGAATATTTATTTTGAGGAAACACATTACAAATATAAAGAGGATTGTAGTACCTTTACTTGTATCACAGGTTTTATTGTACACATTTTGTACTAGAGGAAAACCCTGAGGTAGTTGTTCCAACTTTGCTCAACATCAGGGAATTTATATTGAAGAATAACCCTGCAAATTTAATGAATTTGGAAAAACATTTTTTCAAAAACTATAGATTATAAAACACAAAAGTTTATACTAAAATATATTTTTGCAGATACAGTAAATATTTTAAAAATGTAATCCAAAATTAAGTAAAGAGAATCCACAGTAGAAATACCTGTCTCTCAAACTTCAGACATTACACTTAATCAGATTGCTGAGTATAGGAAAAAATTCAAAACTAAAGTTGGTAAAAAGAAAAATTATTTGTATGTAACTTTAAAAGAAGTAGATCTTTGAAGAGTTATAATTTCATTTAAAGTATACTTTTGTCCTGAAAATACAGATTTTTTTTTGCCAGACACAGTGGCTTACACCTGTAAGGCCAACACTTTGGGATGCTGAGGTGGGCAGATCACCTGAGTTGAAGACCAGTCTGGCCAACATGGTGAAATCCCATGTCTACTAAAAAGAAATACAAATATTTGCGAAGCATGGTAGTGCACACCTGTAGTCCCAGCTACTTGGGAGGCTGAGGCATGAGAATCACTTGAACCTGGGAGCCAGAGGTTGCAGTGAGCTGAGATGTTGCCACTGCATTGCTGCCTGGGTGACAGAGCAAGACTCTGTCTCAAAAGAAAAAAAAAAAAAACAAAAAAAAAAAAACAAAAAAAAAACTACAGCTTATTTGGAAACTGAATACTGATGGAATTCAACTCTTTAATTACTTCATGCTATTTCTTCGTTTCTGTTGTTTTCACATGTAAAAGCCTGTGATCAATTCTTTCTGCATCAGAGATTTGGGAGACTTTTATTAGGTGGTCATTATTTATTACCTTATGGATGACTGAGGACATTAAAATGTAAGATGCATGATGAAAATCTAAGTAGAAAAGCTATTTGTGGTTATCTTATAGAATTGAGTGATGTATGAGGTAGGTGTTCAGAGTAATATTCTTTTTTTTTTTTTTTTTTTTTTTTTTTTTTTTGAGAGGGAGTCTCGTTCTGTTGCCCAGGCTGGAGTGCAGTGGCATAATCTCGGCTCATTATAAGCTCCTCCTCCCAGGTTCAAGCTATGCTTCTGTCTCTGCCTCCCAAGTAGCTGAGATTACAGGTGCCCATGACCACATCCAACTAATTTTTGTGTTTTAGTAAAGGAAGGTTTCACCATGTTGACCAGGCTGTTCTTGAACTTTTGACCTCAAGTGATCTGCCTGCTTTGGCTTCCCAAAGTGCTGTGATTATAGGTGTTAGCCACTGCACCCAGCCCTAAGTAATATTCTAATACATTATTATGAGAGAAAATCGTTCTTGTAGTTTTCTTTTTTTTTTTTTTTTTTGAGACGGAGTCTCGCTCTGTGGCCCAGGCTGGAGTGCAGTGGCCGGATCTCAGCTCACTGCAAGCTCCGCCTCCCGGGTTAACGCCATTCTCCTGCCTCAGCCTCCCGAGTAGCTGAGACTACAGGCGCCCACCACCTCACCCGGCTAGTTTTTTGTATTTTTTAGTAGAGACGGGGTTTCACCGTGTTAGCCAGGATGGTCTCGATCTCCTGACCTCGTGATCCACCCGTCTCGGCCTCCCAAAGTGCTGGGATTACAGGCTTGAGCCACCGCGCCTGGCCATTACTTATAGTTAAAATTAAATCAAAATAATTAGTATGTCATTTTACTAATTGTACTTTTATGTGATAAAACTACAGTTTTAAAGTTTTAAATTGTGTGTTAATTTTTTAATTGAACATTGATGACATGTTAAACACTGTTATACATTCAGCAAAGTGTTATTATGCCACTAATTTTAACCTATTCCACCTTACTCAAGGGTGTATTTAAAAGATGGTAACAATACACTATTTGGTAACATAATAGAGTAACATTTCTAGTATTCTTCTTTTTCAGTGGCTTTAAACTGCAAATAAGTTAAAGAATATGGTTCCTGTGGGTTAATTTTTTTTATATTTAAATTTATTTTTCTTAGTTTTTGTGTGTACATAATATGTGTATATATTTATGTCATATATGGTATATTTTGGTACAGTCATACAATGTATAATAATCACATTGTGATAAGGTACCTATAACCTCTGGCTTTTATGTTTTGTATTACAAACAATTCAATTCTACAGTCTTAGTTACTCTAAATTGTACAGTTAAATTGTTATTGACTACATGGTTATTTTTATGGTATCATAAAAATTATATATAAACATAAATAAAATCAATATATTTCTGAGTCCTGAATAATTTTCGAAACTTTATTATGTATTTTTTGAACACGTGGCCTCTGCCTGAGAACACATAATGGAGTTTTAGTTTTGACTTACATGCAGTTAAATATACACATCTATTAGTCTAAAGATATAACTTAGGTTTAAGGAGCAAGGGTGTTTGAGTATAAGTTTGTAACTGTTTTCAGAAGAAAAGGGCAATATTGAAACAAAGCAAAGCATTTTAACAAGATGTCTAATTTACTGGAAAACAAAAATCCTCAAAAATGCTAAAAGCAAATGTAGACTCTGCTTTGTATTCAGTTTATTACACTATCTTATAGCTTATGATTTAGAATCTTTCCATGCAAATTTTCTGTTTTTACTTGCATGATACTCATTCTAGACCCATAATCTTTTTTTTTTTTTCTTTCTGAGACCAAGTTTCCTTCTTGTTGCCCAGGCTCGAGTGCAATAGCATGGTCTTGGCTCACTGCAACCTCCGCCTCCTGGGCTCAAATGATTCTCCTGCCTGAGCCTCCCGAGTAACTTGGATTATAGGCATGTACCACCACGCCTGGCTAATTTTTGCATTTTGCGTAGAGATGGGGTTTCACCATGTTGGCCAGGTTTGTCTCGAACTCCTGACCTCAGGTGATCCAGCCATCTCAGCCTCCCAAAGTGCTGGGATTACAGGTGTGAGCCACCATGCCCGGCCTAGACCCATAATCTTTTTGTTTCCTGTTTTTTTTTTTTTTTTTTAATAGTTTATGAAGTATTTATTATCTGAGCTCATTTGTAGTTATAAGAATAATTTTTATAAAATTTCATCATGCACACAAAATTATTTTTAGAAGTAATTCCACAATTTGTGTATTATTACATTTTATTTAGTTAAAACATTCCATTAGCTTCTAGAACCCTATATAAGCTTACTTTTCTTTAATTATTCCCTTAACTTTTTATAAGTGACATAAGTAAATTTTATTTATTGAGTCAATTTGTTTCAGTAAGTACTAGGGAAGCTTCACAAGTCATGTGGATGCTTTTATATATAAATGTAGCAAACAAACATGATGGTGTTCAGTGTATAACAGATGCTCCATAATTAGTCATAAATATTCCTGCTAAAGTTAGTTTGTAACTTCAAGTCAGAGATGGAAAATACCAATTGCAAAGAAATAACATTTATTCTTCATGTGAGAACATTTTTTCCAGGCTGCAAAGCTGAATCTTGCTGAATTTAAAGAGAAATGCTTCATTCATGTCCTAATAAGTTTTATCCTTTTATGTGCATTCAAACCATATATGCATCACAGAACTTTTTCTGTGTTACAACTAGTTTTCTCACTGTTGTTTTCCTGCCATGTGGTTTCACACGGTATGTTGTAGGTTTTAAGGAGGACATTGGTATTTTTTAATGCACTGAAAAATTGGTTTTGACTGGAAAGTTTGCTTATAAATATAACTTTAAGATTGGCTAATTAACATCAAAGACATACATTGTCTACCGAAGAGAGGATTAAATCATCATGGTGTTTCTTTGTAAAAGAAAAATGTTAGGCTTTTATACAAAGTGTGGCAAATATGTAATTTGCTAGAACATACATATAAAAATTAAATTTTTAAGAGAATTAATAGTGAGCAATTTTAAATTTAGTTATTTAGGATGTACTTACAGAACAACTTACATTTCCATGCAAAGTCCTCTATTTAAAGTGTGAATGTTAAAGACTGCAAAACAATAAAATAACTGCTGTAAATTTGGAATAATACTTATTTTCTATATTGATACTACAATTTGGAGAAATTTATCACTCATTTTTTAAAGAAATGTTTTAGTGGTTGAAGTTTAGTCTACAGTTTATATTCTTAGTCACCTAACTGTAGTGATCTCCTAGATGATTTTCTCTGAAAACGTTTGGAGATAATGGCAGCTTTTGGATTAAAACATTTCCTGTTAGTTTGCATGCAAACCAGTTTACTGTGATCACACAGTGGCCAATCATGTGAGCATAAGCAAGCCTGCCCTTTTCGTGTCTTTCATACTATTACCATAAGCACCAATAACTTCAGGTGCCCCAAGCTTAAAATAAAAGCCCTGAAGTCTTTGACTTCTCCCATGCACTGTGCTGGGTTCAGAACATACTGTTAAACATCAAAGTTCCTGTGGTTATGACTGACAAATGAGAAAACAGCAAAGAGACAGACAGTATTTGAAACACTGTTATTCTTAACTTGACAAATAAAATGTGTATTTCATTAAACAACATTTTGAAGTATATATATACATTGTCAAATGCTTAGAACTAGGTAATACTTTATCTTATATTAACATTTTTATGGTTAGA